CCGATGCTCTAACCAGTGAGCCAAACCAGCCAGGGCACACAATATAATTTTTGACCCAAAGGTCATTTAGAATATATTTCTGAATTTCCAAACACAAGATTTTCTCTTTGCTCTTGATTTCTAGCTTAACCTCATTTAGTCAGAGAGTATACTCTATGACTTCAATCCTCAGAAATTTGTTGTTTTCTTCATGCATATGTTTTGTTTAAATATAAAAAATATTTAGTATTACGTACATGTTCATTAGGTCAAGTTTGCTAATCATATTGTTCAGTTTTTCTGCACTCTTACTGATTTCTCTGTTTTGTCAGTGCTGAAGTGTGTGATAAAATCTCGTAAGTCTGAATCTGTCTCTTCTTGTTGAACCTTCAATTTTTGCTTTACATTTTTGAGAACTTATTAGGCGTATTCGAGTTAGAACAGTTATTTCTCCTTAGTGGTTGAGTCATTTATCATGAAATGTCTCTTTATTTCTCTATTGCTTTTTTGCCTTAAAGTCAGCTCTGCATGACTAGAATCGTTCCAGCAGTTTCCTTTTGGGTTTGCGTGCTATGCTCTCCGTCCTTTACCGCAGCCTTGCCGTGCCCTTCGGGTTCAAGTATGTCTCTCATAAGTGGCACCTAGTTTGGGTTTTTAATCCATTCTAACAATCTTTGTCTTTGGAGTAAATCATGTAGTTCACTTACTCTTAATATAGTTCCTGTGTGTTGCATTTAAATCAGCCATTGGATTAATGCTTTTTATTTGACTCTCACATTTTTCTTTCCTTCCTCACCGTTTTGATTGATTATTGTGGGCAAAAGGTAAACAAAATTCTATTTCTTCTGCTTAACAACTAAACCTTTGTTAAATTTCTAGCTCTGTTCCCTTGTTAACCTAATAAGATGTATATCAACTATATTACGAAGCAACCTCACTAATAATGGAAATTCCCCCTGCTGGTACACTGTGTGTGTACTGGGAGAACTCTGGGTGTCTGGTGGGGATGACACACTTTGAGCTTCCTCAGTTTGTAAAACCTTGGTGATTTTTTAATCAGTTTTGGAAAGTTCTTGGTAATCACCTCTTAAAATACTGCTTCTGCCCTGTCTCCCCTTCAAGACTCGTTACTTAGGCCGTCTGGCTGTATTTTCTGTGCCTCTTAACTTCTCTTTGTTTTCCATATTTTTGACTCTCCATGCTTCATTCCAGGAAATTTTTTCTCACCTATCTTCTAGTTCACTATTTTTTTCTTCAACCGTTTCTCAGCTACTCTTCTACTGCTCCACTGAGTTCTCAATGTCCATGATTATATTATTCAGTTCTAGGTTTTCCATTTGGTTTCATTCTTTTTTATAGTTTCCTGTTCTCTAAAAAATTCTCAATGTTGTCCTTTGTCATCTTGAACATGGTGAGCATAGTTATTTTAATATCTTTGTCTGGTAAACGCGGTGTCTGGACCCCTGCAGGTCGGTTTATTTCGTGTGTTGTTTTAACTGTTTCTAATTCATGTGACCTTGTTCCCTATATGTCTGGTTAATTTTTATTTTGCTCCAAAGATTGAATTTGTAAAATTGTTTTTAGGAATAATTGGAGACCCCAGTTTATGTAATCTCTCTCCAGGGAAGATTTACCTTGGCTTCTGTTAGGTGCCTTCCAAACAAGCTGTTCTGATTTTAAGGAGTGAAGTGACTCAGCTAAACGGTGGTCCTTGTGACAGACTGCCTACTTCCGATTCACCTGTATTACCAGTGGCAGCCTTTTCGGATCCCAGCCCAAAGTGAGAAGGGTTAACCCATGACCTCCTCCTTTTCGGGCCCTAGACTCTAATACCTGCCTCAGTAGCCCCATGAGGCTGTCAGAACCACTCCTCAGATCCCATCTACCTGCTCTACAATAGGCAGATCCCCCCAGGAGAAAGGAGGTCTCAAACCTGGACTGTTCTCCATGGCTTCCAGCCCCATAATTCTCCACTATTTTGTTAGCTCTCTAATGTCTTTAAGCAAAGGTTTTTCATGTTATATTTGCCTTTCCTAGATGTCCCTAGCATGGGTGTTGGTTTAAATTACCTAATCTGTGACTAGTAAAGTAGAAGCCCTAATATTCCCATTTCATAAGTTAAGATTATTGGGTCCAGAGAGACTTTAGCATAGCTAGTTAAGAGCAGAGATCTACGATCCAAGCATCCTGATTCTGTTTAATGCTATCCTGTTATACCAGTACCAAAGCATATGGGTAGATCTGGTGACGTTTCAATACTCACTGTGCCTAGTGCCACTTCTCTTCACTTGTTCACCAAGCAGTAAAGACCCTGTATCCCAGAACACTCACAGAAGTCCCAAGTAAACAGATTCCTTCCCTCACTTCCACATCCCATTAAGTTTGCTTTAAACTTATTATAAGACCTTTTTAAAGCAAGCACCAACCTCCCCCATAAAAATGCTCCATTTGAAAACCACTACAGATTTAGTGACCATGTTGATCATCCATCACTGTTTTTTAAAGTGAGATTCTGCTTTAGCCTTATAATATCAACCCTCTGCTTAAGATCTAAGCCAAGGATCCGGAGTGGGGAAGAATGATCAGTTATCTACGAATGCATTTAAAAAAAAAAACAATCTAAAATACAGTGCTTAAAACAACAATGGGTTATTTCTCATGATTCAGTTGGTTGACTGGCTAGTTCTTCTGCTTATTGTCTCACGTGGGCTCACCAAGTGGCTCTAGTGAGCTGGAGCTGGACTGTGTACCGTGGCTCATTCACGTGGTGTGGCTGCGTGGCTGCGTGGCTGCGTGGCTGGGATAACTTCGCCTCTTTCTTCACACAGTCTAGTCCTGGGCTTCTTCACATAATAGAAGTGTCCCCAGAGGGCAAAGCTTCTCGAGGCCTAGTCTCCACAGGTAACCCAGAGTCCCTTCCGCCACATTCTGCTGGTTAAAGCAAGCCACAAGGTCAGCTCATTCAAGAAGTGGGATGGCAACTCCGCTTCTTGATAGGAGGGCTGCAAAATATCGTGGTGGTGGTTTCAGTGTCAGAGAGAAGGTGAAAGAGGTGGGTGTGCTCGGCAGGAATGGCCCTGCATTCCAACCCCAGTCCTCTGACGCCCACTGCTGAGGACAGCCAGGTGAACAGATGCAGAGTGACAAGGCCTGGGTGTCCCGAGAGCAGGAACTTCTGTCCCCATGGGGTCAGGGTGCAGCACCCTCCTGGTATATTGGTATGTTCCCCAACCAGGAAATTTCATGGAGCCTTGGTGTCCTGAGTTTTTAGTTTGTTTGTTTGTTTGTTTTTGTTTTTTTAAGCAGGGTTTCATTGTGTAAGCATGATTGATTAAATCATTGGCCCCGATCGCTCTCAATCTTCAGCCCCCCTTCCCTCCCAGAGGTCAGGCAGCTGAAGGTCCCAGCCCTCCAGTCCTGGGCAGGGGTTTTCTGGTGGCCGCCTCCACCTGAAGCTGCCCAGGGGCATTAGCATAGCAAAGAAATTCCAGTCACTGAGGAAATTCCAACAGTTTTGAAGTTCTGTTCCAGAAACCAGGGACAAAGATCGGAGATTTTTTTTTTAATTATACCATAGCCTCCCCAAGGATACACATCCTAATCCCCAGAACCCGTGAACGTGTTACGTTAGGTGGCAGGAGGAGCTAAGGTTGCCAGTCAGCTGACTTTGAAATAAATCCTGCATTATCCAGGTCGGCCCAGTGTAAACACAAGGGTCCTTGGAAGGGAAGGAGGGCGGTTGAGGAGTCAGACCATGGGAAGGATGTAATTGGCCACTGCTGGCTTTGACGATGGGAGGAGGCCACAAGCCAAGGGGTGCAGGCAGCCTCTGGGAGCTGGGAGAGACAGGAAAGGGGTTTCCAGAAAATAACAGCCCTGCTGACACCTTGAATTTTAGCCCAGTGAGACCCGCTTCAGACCGCTGACCCCCAGAGGTGGAGGAGAACAAACGTGTTTAAGCCGCAAAGGCTGCGCTGCTCGCTGCAGCAGCCACAGGAAGCTGGCACGGCAGCGTTTGGGAAAAGGAAGAAAACGGCGTTTCTCCCCTTCATGGAAGGCAGCATCAGTCTGTACTTGATGAGCAGATGTTAAAAACGCATTCTGTTCAAAATGCAAGTCAGTTCACATTCTTCGGTTCAGATCTCTCCTGCTTCTTAAATCATTTACTTCTTTTCACCTCCAGCCCTCAGTGCAGCTCGAAACCACCCAGTGGAACTGCAGGGCATTTGTGGCTTAATTTAAGTAGCTCTGTGTGCCCGACACATCCTAGATTCAGAGGAGGGAAAGTGACTTTACACTGACAAGTAGGATGCGGTCGGCCTCCCTGATTCATCCGGGGATAACTTGCTATCTTCAGTGCCCGGATCTGCGCCAAGCACAGCTTTCTGTTGGAAAGGAGTTATGATCTCAGGCATGATACAAAGTGTCATTGGCACAGAAGGAAGGACTTTTTGCTAAGCTCTTCCTTCGAGTCACTGATGGTAAAAGTGCTTTTGTAACTTCTCTACTTCTATGCTCATACATGTCAAAATATCGAATATGCTTATAAATCTTCCTCTCTTTTTCCAAAGCACAAACTAATGTAATAATAATAATGGCTGATGCTTAAGGATCATTTTCTGCGTCGCAGGGCTGTGCTTCGTAGTCTGCATCTTCACCACCCAATTTAACCACAGCTCCTGCCTCTCTCGAGTATCCCTCCTGTTACTTTTTAACCATGTCTCCATAAATGCACAAAATCTCAACATTTACCTATCTCAAGTATTTGCTCCTTAGTTTTATCCCTTTTCTGCTATTCCTGATGAAACCCTAAAATATGGTAAAGCAAAACTTCAGCTAATGGTGAGCACTTCCAACCTTGAATTGAAGGGACAGGAAGCAGAACTACTTTATTCACAAGAGTATGCCAGAGAAATTAGAGGCACAGAGTTTAATTTGACACAATTAACACTAATGATATGTGAGTGTCCTCGGTCTGGGATTTTTCCTGAAATTTGCCATTTGCTGATTTGTGTCCTTAGGAGCCATATTATGTCCGTTGCATCAAACCCAACGACAAGAAGTCCCCACAGATCTTTGACGAGGAGCGCTGCCGGCATCAGGTGGAGTACCTGGGGCTGCTGGAGAACGTGAGGGTGCGCCGGGCAGGGTTCGCCTTCCGCCAGATGTACGAGAAGTTCCTTCACAGGTGAGAGTCGACGCCACAAAGAAACCTGATAGCTCACTGGGAGTTACTGGGTCTTCCCCACGCGTGACGAGTCAGCATCTGATAGCTGGTAAACGAACAGAAGAGTTGAGGAGCGGCAGATGGGAAAAACTTTCTCAGATGCTGCAGAAGGAGTCTCCTTGCGCTTGTGGTGTATGGACCACAGGGAGAACGTGTGTTCTTCGTGAGGAAACATGGACATTGTAGGACAGTGGAAAGAACAAGGATCAGGCCCTGGCCGGTTTGGCTCAGCGGTTAGAGCGTTGGCCCGTGGACCGGAGAGTCTCGGATTCAATTCCCGCTAAGGGCACGTACCTCGGTTGCAGTTTGTCTCCAGCACCAGTTGGGGTCGTGTGGGTGGCAGCCAGTCAATATGTCTCTCTCACATCGATGTTTCTCTCTCTCTCTCTTTGCCCCTCTCTCCTTCCCACTCTATCTGAAGATGAATGCAAAAATGTCCTGGGGTGAGGATAAAAAAAAAAAAAACAAGGATCAGGAGTCATGTCTGGGTTGGGACCCTGGCTGTGCCACTCACTTGCTGTATAATCTTGGGCCAGAAATGTAATGTCTTTGATCCTGTTTCTGCATCTGTGAAATGAGTATAATAACACCTACTTCAGAAGGCTGTTGGCATGAGGACTAAATAACCTAAGTAGAAAGCCTAGTTGCCTGGTACCTTATGGATGTTCAGTTAACACTGCTCATTGTTACTGACATTATTAAGTATAGTTGACTCTGAACAGCATGGGTTAGGGGTGCCAGCCACCCCCCATGCAGTTGAAAGTTCTTGTATAACATTTGACTCCCCAGACCATGACTACTAATAGCCTACTGTTAACCAGAAGCCTACCAGTAACATGAATAGTTGATGAACACATATTTTATATGTACATGTATTATATACTTTATCCTTGCAATAAACTAAGCCAAAGGAAAGAAAATGTTAAGAAAACCCTAAGGAAGAAAAAATACACTTACAGTATTTACTGAAGAACATTACATATAAGTAGACCCACAGAATCCAAACCTTTATTGCTCAAGGGTCAATTGTATAATAATAACAAAATATTAAATAGTTAATCATGAAGGCCCTGAAATTAGTCTGCCTGGTTTGAATCCTGGCTTTGCCATTTCATAGTTTTGTGGCCTTGGACAAATCACATAACTGTTTCACACCTCAGTTTCCTTATGTGTAAAATGGGGGTAATAATAATAACTACTTTGAGGGGTTGCTGGAAAATTAAATGAAATAATATATAAAAATCACTTAGAATAGTACCTACTATCACTTAGAATAGTACCTAGCATATATTGATCATTCAATTAATGTAAGACACAATTGCTATTGCTATTTATTGTTAATAAGGATAGTTGACAGCTGGGACTCATAAAAATAATTTAAATCCCATCTGTGCATTTATTTTTAAATATTTATTGAACATTTCCTGTGTTCTACACTATACAGTCCACAAAAATATAAATAAATAAATACATACATATATACATACATACATACATACATAAGATATTGGATGGTCAGAAGAGTCTTTAAGGAGATGAAAAGGACAAGAAGCAACCAGCCACACAAAGGTCGGAGGAAAGAGCAGGTGGGGCGGAGGGAAAGCCTCTGTTACAGTGACAAGTGTGACGTTTTAGGTACCAAATGTAGTCCGTGTGGTCGGGGGATACCGACTGACGGGGCAGGGGTGTGAGATGAGATCAGAGAGATGAACAGGGGCCAGATCATGTTGAACTTTAATCCAGACTAAACAGCCTCCGTTTTGGTTTAGGGTGCTAGCAAACCACCGGCAGATTGGAAGCAGGGGGTGACAATCTTGTGGGTGTTTTAAGAGACCACTGTGGCTGCTGTGTGACTAGAAAGCAAGAAGGTGCTCAGGGATGTTATTGCTGAGTCCAAGAGAGGTGGCTTGATAACAGTGCTTTGAGCCCTGGCTGGTTTGGCTCAGCGGTTGGAGCATCCGCCTGCAGACCAGAGAGACCTGGGTTCGGTTCCCGCTGGGGGCGCGTACCTCGGTTGCAGTTTGTCCCCGGCCCTGATTGGTCGTGCGGGTGGCAGCCACTCGATGTGTCCCTTTCATGTCGATGTTTCTCTCTTCCTCTCTCTCTCTCTCTCTCTCCCTCCCTCCCTCCCTTCCACCCTCCCTCCCACTCTAACTGAACAAAAAATGGACAGCGGACAGGTCCAGGATGTGTTTTTGAGGAAAGTTGACAAGATTTGTTCATGGGTTGGCTAGATCAGAGCAATGGAGGAAGACAAGTAGATTTTGGCTTGAGCATCTGAGTCAGCCTGGTACCATTTGCTGAGATACAGAAGATGGGATGAGAGAAGTCTGAGGGGGAGGGCATGGAACTGGGAACAAAGATGGGATCGAGATTTGACTCTTGATTGTGTTAGGTTCGAAATGCCTGCCAAACATCTAGGTGGAAATATTAAGTGAACTATTAGATATAGATGTATCTGGAGATAGAGATGTTTGTGATTAGTATCCAGATTCTATATAAAGTCTTGGAACTGGCTAAGGAAGAGGAGTCCCATGCAGACGTTTAGGTTGGTGGTCTGACACGAGGGAACCAGCAAAACGAGGAGAGGGAATAACCAATGACAGAGAAGAAATACCAGGAAAGGGTTGAAGACAAGAGAGAAGGCACTTCCAGAAGAAAAATGCAGTTACCCCATCAAGTGTTGCAATAAAAGCAGAAGCTTAACCATTAGCTTTGGCACCGGAGTGGAAGCTGTGGGGAGCAGTTGGAGTAAGTCAGACAACACGCAAGTTTGCTTTAGGGGGAAGAAGGAATTTTGCAAACGCCTATCTTTACTGACTTTTACCCTCTCTTTGGACTTCTTTTGCTTTCAGCTGAAAATGTCGTGTTGTGATTTTTGCATGGAAGACATGCTATGAGAATTGGGTTGTGTTTTCTAACACTCATTGTAAAAACAAAAGAGAACAGGTTGAAGAGAACCGTTGAATTTTAAATAGGGTGATCTTCGTGGTGCAAGCTTAAATTTCCCATTCCCACTGCAGAGCACCCCCAAATAATGTAAAACATGTCTATTGATAACAAGTAAATGCATGGCCACACTATGGAATCCAAAGGGAATCTCAGTTAACTTGAAAGTGCGCGTCACTCCTAAGCAGGATATGAAGCCGATCGGAAGACCCGGAGGGAAGCCAAGGGTGCCGTTTCAGGGAAAGGCGGCCTCCTGAGGCTGCAAGAAGCCACCAGCCACTGTGCTGGGATTGACCACAGCTGCAGCACCAGGAGGTGGCCGTAATGGCCAGGACAAGTAACCACCACAGCAGCTGCAAAGGAAACATTATAGACATAAAGGCCAAGACCCAGGAAGCAAAGGTAGCCACCTTACAAGGGGCCAGAAAGGCCCAGATGTGCACTCGCCCCAGGTCGCAGAGCCAGGTCGTGGTGGAGCCGTATTTGAACCCGGCTTCTGAGGCTGCAGTCTTTACCAGGGCGTTGTCTCACAATTGAGTATATGGCTTCCAGATCAAAGGAGAAAATGAACTGGAATTAAGAGAAAGCAGGGAAGGAAGCAACAATGGGAAAGCATGCCTTATATTTATATGGAAAATATAAAATAAGAAGAAAATTTCAACATGTTTATAATCAGAAATATTTCAGATTACCCTTTAAAAGATAGAATAGTGGAGCCCGGCTGGTGTGGATCAGTGGTTGAGCGTTGACTGAGAAGTCCTGGTTCAATGCCTGGTCAGGGCACATGCCCAGGTTGCGGGCTGGATCCCTGGTAGGACGCGTGCAGGAGGTTAGCTGATGGATGTTTCTCTCTCACATCGATGTTTCTATCTCTTTCTCCCTTCCGCTCTCTCTCTAAAAAAATCAATTAAAAAAAAACATTAAAAGACAAAATAGTGGAAAGACTGAAGTCTAGTGACTGATTACTTACGTTGAGATTAGCTGCTCTCTGGAACCCTCTAGGGAGGTACGATGGTGGAATGTACATCTGGGAAAAGAGCCTATTCCGATTCTACAGGCTGTGTGTATCTTCTGATGTTTCCTTTTTCGCATGATGTTGTGTAATATTACATCTCTCTTCACAGTAGAACTCTCGTTTGGTTTCTATTTCAGTTCCTATCTGGCAAGTGAGCAGGCTTTTAAATGTATTTCCGTTTGTTTGTTTGTTTGTTTGTTTGTTTGTTTGTTTTTCTTTCACCCAACCAGTCTGTTTCCTTGTTGTACGTCAGGCAACATGATGTCCAGTGGGGAACAGAACAAAGCCCCTGGCTTCGTGGCACCCACAGACCTTGAGAGAGACTGGCATGAAACAGGTCAACCCACAAATCAGTATGATGAATGGCGTAAGAAAAAGAAACCCACGCCCTGGTCAGTTTGGCTCAGCGGTTAAAGCATCAGCCTGCGGTCCGGAGGGACCCGGGTTCAGTTCCCGCTAAGGGCACGTACCTCGGTTGCAGTTTGTCCCCGGCCCTGGTTGGTTGTGCGGGTGGCGACCACTCGATGTGTCCCTTTCACATCGATGTTTCTCTCTCTCTCTCTTCCTCTCTCTCCCTCCCGTTCTATCTGAACAAAAAATGGAAAAATGCCCTCGGGTGAGGATGATAAAAAAAAAAAAGAAAAAGAAAAAGAAACCCAGCCGACAGGCCTTAGAGAGGAATGATGGGTGTGAGGATTGATGGTTGGTGAAGGAAGATCAGGAGAAGACTAAAGGATGAGAAGGAGCCAGCTTTTCAGTGAAGAGATTAAAAAGCATCCCAAGCAATGGGAACAATATATGCAAAGTCTCTAAAGCAAGAACGAAGCAACACACATCGCAGGATCCTAAAGAAGGCTGATGTCATTGGAGTACAGTGATAAAGGAGAAGAGCAGTAAAAGATACAAATGAGCCCTGGCCAGTGCAGCTCATGCACTGAAAGGTTGCCGGTTCGATTCCCAGTCAGGGCACATACCTAGGTTGCTGGTTTGATCCTGGTTAGGGTATGTTTGGGAGGTAACTGATTGATGTTTCTCACTCACATCAATGTTTCTCTTCTCTAAAGACTCTCTAAAAATCATTTTTAAAAGTCTGGCGGGGGGGTAAAAAGGATGTAAGGCTTTTTTTTTTCATCCTCATCTGAGGACATTTTTTATCTTCAGATAGAGCAGGAAGGAGAGGGAGGAAGAGAGAGAGAAACATCGATGTGAGAGAGGCACATCGACCGACCGCCACCCACACAACCCCATGGGGCCAGGGACAAACTGCAACCAAGGTACGTGCCCTTAACAGGAACCGAACCCAGAACTTCTGGTTTGCGGGCCAATGCTCTAACCGCTGAGCCAAACCAGTCAGGGCTGATATAAGGCTTTTTAGAAAACTACTCTGGTTGCTGAGTAGGCAGAATAGATTGGAGAGGAAATGGAAAATAATTCAGGATTCTATCGTTGTAAACTTGATGGTGGTTTGGATTAGGATTGTGGAAGTACAGGTGAGAATGGTTGAATTTTAAATATATTTTGAAGGTAGAACCCATAGGACTTGATGGATTAGAAAGAATGAGAAAGAAGAGAAGGGATCAGTTTGATTCCCAGGATTCTGGCTTCAGTAACTGAGGGCATGCAGGTGGTAAAGACCGAAAGAGAAGTTTAAGATGCCTCCAAGGTCCAGGTAGGCATTGGATATATGAGTCTGAAGCTGAGAACTGAGACCTGGGCTAGGGATGATAAATTCATGAATTGAAAGATAAAGTGGATAGAATAGATGAGGTGATGTGGGAAGGGTGTGCATAGAAGAGGGCATGACGTGAGCCCTGGGGAGCTCCAGTATGAGGGTCTAGTAAATAGAGGAGCAGTAGCCAGAAAATGAGATTGAGGGGAAGTACCCAGAGAGACCAAAGGAAGTCAGGGAGAGCCTGCTGTCATGGGAGCCAAGATGGAAGTTGGGAAAAGAGAGAGATGTCAAGAAGGGATTGGATGCCACTTAGATGTATACTATCTTAACCAGAAATGTGTACAACTTAAAGACTCCTGAAAGGCACAGAAATAGCCTTGAGAACATAGAAAGGCTGCTCTTGTTCTTGGATAAGACAACTCAACGTCAGAGGTCGATGTAATGGCTTTAACGTGGGAACCCAACAGAAGTGCAGACGGATCTGTGTGTTTGCTCTGTGACTGCTTTTCCCTGGAACTGTGTAAACTGATGCTGAAGTTTATATGCACAGACAGACCTGCAGGAATACTTAGAAAGACCTATAAAAAAGAAAAGATATTGAAGTATACTTGTAACATCTGTAATTAAAACCGTGTGGTATTGATGCATGGATGGACAGACAGAGCAATGAACCCGACCAGGAAGCCTAGAAATGAACTGAGTACGTAGGAAATGTAGTCTATGATAAAAGTGACATAAAAAATAACAGGGTGAGCCCGGCCTGTGTGGCTCAGTGAATTGAGCCTCGTCCCATGGACTGAGAGGTCCCAGTTTGATTCCCAGTCTGGGTACATGTCCGGATTGCAGGCTTGATCCCCAGTAGGGGGCGTGCAGGAGGCAGCTGATCAATGTTTCTCACATTGATGTTTTTATCTCTCTCTCTGGAAAAAAAAAATTTTTTTTTCTTAAATGAAAAAAGGAAGAAAAACACACTTTCTAGTAAGTTGTGTTGGGGAATAGCCTTTTGTTAAAAGGTAGAATTGGATCCCTACCTCATTCCATATACCAGAATGAACTCCAAATGGATCAGAGATCTAAGTGTAACACACAGGTGAGTTACTCTGCAACTGGAATATGGGCAAAACCTGAATTTCAGATGAAATGTATGAACATTACTAAATTTGGCTACTTGTGTTGACCAAGTTTGCACCTGGGTGTTGGGGGAGCACTGTGATAAGCAGCTTCTAAGCTGCTCCCAAGATCCCCACCTCCTGGGATTCACACTGTGTAATTCCCTTCCCTCAAGGTTGGCCTGGGCCTGGTATTTGCTTCTAGCGAAATGGGATATGGCACAAGTGATGGGATGTCACTTGTGAGATTCTGTCTTGCTCACACTCACACTCGCGTGAAGCTGGTGTGTAGGGAACTGCCCGTGCGAGGCCCACGTGGCCAAGAACTGTTGGCGGTTTGTATGTAGAAACGCAGTTGTTGTGTGTTTGTTTATTTGTTATTAAGTAATTACTTCACGTGCAGATACAGTGGGAGGGAGGAAGGGAGGGAAACATCAATGTGAAAAAGACACATTGATTAGCTGCCTCTTGCACAATCCCAACCAGGGCTGGGGATCAAACCACAACTGAGGTACATGCCCTTGACTGGAATCGAACCCGTGACTCTTTGGTCTGAGGGCCAGTGCTCTAACTGCTGAGCCAAACCAGCCAGGGCATAACAGTTGTTGTTTGTGTATTCATCTTATATGCAGAATAGTGCTTAGGTTTCTTTTAGTGATAATAGTCTATCTGCTTGATCTCCTACGAAGCAAGTATATTGTTCATAAGTAATGTTAGTTTTGCTCTTTCTGCAATCACGTACCTGTTTGTTTATCTGGCTCACTGTGCTGGCTAGAAAACCCAGTGGCGGCATCCTGATCTTGATTCTGTTTGTGGAGTGAATGCTCCCAAGGTTGCCCCCATACGAATGATGTTTGCTGCACGTTTTTGGTAAAGAACCAGAACCTTCATTAAATTAAGGAAGTACCCTTCTACCCCTACTTTAGAAAAGGTGGTTATCATGAGGGAGTGTTGCATCTTACTGAAGATTTTTTTCAACATCTCTTATCCGGCTATGAAATTTATTTCTGTTCCTAGTTTGCTAAGAAGTTTAGTTTTTGTTTTTTTCTTTCTATGAAACATCTTGAATGTTATGGAATGTTTTTCCTGCATCTGTTGAGACTTTACAGTTTTTCTCCCTTGACCTGCGCCCTGTTTTTCTCACCCAGGTACAAGATGATCTCGGAGTTCACCTGGCCCAACCACGACCTGCCTTCAGACAAAGAGGCTGTCAAGAAGCTGATCGAGCGCTGTGGTTTTCAGGACGATGTGTCTTACGGGAAGACCAAAATTTTCATCCGCACGCCGCGCACACTGTTCACCCTGGAAGAGCTCCGCGCCCAGATGCTCGTGCGGATTGTCCTCTTTCTGCAGAAGGTAATCTTGCATTCCATGGGTACGGAGAAGGCCTCGCTGTTCTGTTCTTAAAAACTGGTTGAACGTTTCCTTCGATTCAAGAAATGTTCGTGATGATATGTTTCGTTGTATCTACACATAACCTCTGAATGTTTTGTTGCCTTTGCACGTGGAAAGCGTACTTGGCTGTCTGAGCCCAGAATTACTTTCCCCTCAAAACACTAAGGACGTTTTGTCCTCCGGTATTTAACGTTGGAGAGATGTCTGAAACAGCCTGCTTTGGTCTCTTGCAGGTCACAGAGTTGTTTCCCTCAGCTTAATTGCACAAAGGATTATTTTTTAATCTTGTGATTCACAAGTTTTGCCAAGGTGTGTGAAACAACCTCCCTCACCTTTCATTACACACCACCTGCACCGACTGAGGTGTGGTCGCTTGACTGCATGGTGCTGGTGGCATCGTGGTGCCTGTCACCACTGATCTGTACGGGCCTTATTTCATTCACTCACTCGTGTGTTTCTTTTTATTTCCCTACATCCATTTTCATAGCTTCCATGTTAACCGTTGTAACGTAAAATATTCTGTGGGTATATAAAAAGAAATTATGTGCCTCTGTGAGAATGTCCCTGGGATATATACCCAGAGAAAGTGGCTGGGTCATTGGGTAGATGCAGACCGAACTGGTATAAGGAGTGCCAGGTTCTCTGCAAAATGTGCCATTCTGCAGCGCCACCTGCTGTATAGGGGGTCACAGTGTGCCCACATTCTCACGGTCTCATCCAGCTGCCTATACGTTTTGCCAGACTGATAGGTGTAACTATACCTCTTTTTACTTTTTATTTCTCTGATTACCATTGAATTTGAACATCTCATTAAAAATATGTTTGCTTTTGGGGTTTTTCTATAAACTGCTCTTTCTTATCCTTTATCCATTTTTCTACTGGAGTTGGTATCATTTTGTCGATTATCAGGAATTCCTTGAATGTTTAGACATAAATTTTGTATTCACTTAAGGCATTATAGATATATTCTTCTATTTTGTGTGCATTCTAATGAACTTTATAATATGCTTTGTTGAAGAGAATCCTTAATTTTGACATAATCAAATTCTTCAGTATTTCGCCTTATATTTTGTGCTTTGGAATTTTGTGTAAGAGGGCTTCTTCTGTCTCTAGGTCCCAAAGATACTATCCTATATTTTCATCTGTGAATTGTATACCTTTACCTTTCACGGTTAGGTCATTAATCCATGTTAATCCACCTATGTATGTGGTTTTAGGTAGGAACCCAGTTTCATTTTCTTCTGTATGGTGAGCAGGTTTTCTCAACGCCAACCTGTCCTTTACCCACTGATTATTTTATTATATCTTAAGTATGTCTAGTCTGTTTCTGAGTGCTCTGCTCGGTTTCTATAGCGGTTGGTTCATGCACTAATACCGCAGTTTTTGTCGTGTGTCTCAGTGTGTGGTAGGATAAATCCACTTTCTCTGCTCTTCTTTATTAAGGTCGATTAACCTGTACATAGACCTTTATTCTGCAGTACACATTTTAATGTGCGCTTACTGTGCTCATTAAATTCAACAATGCTTTTTATTAGGGCTGCATTGAAGGTGTAGATTAATTTGAAAGGATTAACATTTTTACAATAATAAATCATCTTTTGTTACTGTTGTTGTTAATCCTCACCTGAGGATATTTTTTCCATTGATTTTTTTTTTTTTTTTAGAGAGTGGAAGGGAAATAAGGAGGAAAGCAGAGAGAGAAAGAGAGAGAGAGAGATCAGTTGCTACCCACACGTGCCCCGACCAGGGCCAGGGGCGGAACCCACAACCCAGGCATGTGCCCTTGACCAGGGCCAGGGCGGAACCCACAACCCAGGCATGTGCCCTTGACCAGGGCCAGGGCAGAACCCACAACCTAGGCATGTGCCCCGGCCAGGGCCAGGGCGGAACCCACAACCCAGGCATGTGCCCTTGACCAGGGCCAGGGCGGAACCCACAACCCAGGCATGTACCCCGACCAGGAACCACCGAACCCCAGGCCCTCCAGTGCGCGGCCAACACTCTAACCGCTGGGCCACACCAGTCAGAGCTAAATCATCTGAAGACTGTAGACTAGGCTTACATAAACACTTCTTTCACCTTGAGAGACACTTTATGAATTCATGGTTAAGTCCTAGATATTTTATTGTTTTTGTTACTGTTATGAATTTTTTATTATATTTTCTACATGTCCGTGTTAGATACAGAGAAATAATTATACAGAGAAATAATATTAGCTTGTATTGGTGGACCTGTATCCAGATGAAACCTTTCTTGATTTATATGTGTTGCTTCTGTTAGTTTTCCTGGGTAAATGATTCTATCGTGTGCGTCTAATGGACGTTTTCTCTTCCCAGTTGCCAAGGTGTTCCTAAGTGTTGGCCTCTGTCATTTATTTTGCCTAGAATTCAGAAAAACACTCTTGGAGTGAATGACTCAATTCTGTTGCACCCTAAAACAGTTTTCTGCTATTAACTGTTGTTTTGTTTTTAATAGATGTTGCTTTTACTCAGCTCTCTTTTCTTTCTCAGGCGCTGCTGGTAACTTGACAGGTCTGGCTCTCTGCTCTCTGCCTGCCGTAGCCCATCAGTGCATCCATCTGTTCTCCAGTCCTTTCCAGCGATGCGTGTGTTGTTGTTGGGCCCTCTGATGCTTTCCTTCTTTATACCCGTCCAAGATACGGACTTGGCCTAGAGTGGACCTTCCCTCTCAGCTGCTTGGGACCGTCCTGGTGTGTGGCTGTTGTCTGTTGCAGCTATTGGTAGAACCCCTTCCACTCTCAAAACTGTCCCAGTGTGGGTCACCCTGTAGCGTCACCCTCCCCTGAACTCACTTTCTGTCTGCTTGGTGGCTGGTAGGGGACAGTGTATTCTCTTCTCTCACTGTTGTGAGTGTCCCACAGGCTTTAGTGTATTACAGCTCTGATAGCCATAAACAGGGCCCCCTCCTCTCCCTCCTGGCCAGTGTGGCTCGGTTGGAGCGTCGCCCGTACCCCAGATGGGTGGTGGGTTTGATTCCCAGTCAGTGCACATACCCGGGTTGTGGGTTCAATCCCTGGTCAGGGCGCGTGCAGAAGGCAACCAGTCAGTGTTTCTCTCTCACATAGATGTCCCTCCCCCTCTAAAATCAGTGAAAAGAAAAAAATACATATTTTTAATGGTAATTCCAGGGACACACACCTCCTAGGGCTCTTCCTTTCTTGGTCTCCTCCACAGCACCTCTGCGTGCTTTCTGGTGAGGAATTAGAATTGCTCCCTAGAGAAGAGATCCTAAGAGAAAAGGGATGGCTGCTTCAAAACCCGCCACCTGCGCTGTGCGGGGACAGCCCTGCAGTCTTCTCTGTGACGCAGAGCTTGCGTCTCTTAATCAGAGGGCAGGACAGTGGGGAGCCTGACCCCCCGGGATGACCGCTCTGGGGTGTAGTGGATGCCATCTACTGATTATGTTCTTCACACAGCCCCACAGGCCATCAGTGAGGGGAAATTTCTGTCCACTTCTGGGAATAGGACACAAGTCACCCAACTTTCCGTGTGGTGTGTTCACTTTTTCTCTGTTTCTGTAGGAATTCAATGGAAAGTCTAGGAGAGACAGCATCAAGGATGCTATTTTAAACAAGACTCTCCAACAGTCTGTTTTTATTTCCTTTTTCAAGGAAAAAATAGCTTGCCCTGGCCAGTTTGGCTCAGCGGTTGGAGCATCAGCCTGTGGACCAGAGAGACCCAGCTTCGGTTCCGCTGAGGGCACGTACCAAAAAAGAAAGAAAGAAAGAAAAAAAATAGCTTTATCTGTTTTTCTGATTATATAACTACAGTATGCTCATTGTAAAAACACATTTAAACCGCACAGGAAAGTGTGAGGGAAACTGGAAAATCCCACTATTCCGACGTTGCAGGTTCGATTCCTGGTCAGGGCACATGCCCAGGTTGTGGGCCAAATCCCCAGTAGGGGGCGTGCAGGAGGCAGCCAGTCGATGTTCTCTCGCATCGATGTTTCTGTCTCTCCCTCTCCCTTTCTCTCTATCTAAAATCAATAAAGAAAAAAAATTTTTTTTAAAAAGGCACTTTTACTTCTGCTTCCGCTAACTAATGCATGAAAGCACTGGTTATTTTCATTCTTATAAACACCTTTTCTGAATGACCTGAAGCTGAACATTGAAAAAACCTTGTTACAGAAAGCCCAGTTGTCCCCTACAAAGAAGCGAATCCGTGTAGCTGAGGTCACTCGTCTCTTCCTTCCACAACACACGATTGCTTCACGCACCCGCAGACCCTCTGCCTTGGAGTCTGTGTGCGCTTTGCATCACACTTGAGTGAGAGAGAAAATGAGATGGCGTTTCTAGACCGCACGGAAGAAACTCGAGTTCTAGAATTACAGCTTTAAGCAAGGAGGTGTGAGAGGTCAGCCGTCAGTTCAGCGGCGCACACGGGGGCTCAGGTGAAGTGTCTGATGATTGCTCCTAAGTAGGTTGTGAGGCAGAGCTGTCCTGGATGATTTTGTGGCTTTAGGTTTTTTTCTTCCTCCACCTGAAGCTTTCTGGTTTTGATTCATCATTCGTCTTCTGTGTGTCATATTCATTAACTGCCAGAAAATAAGATACTTTTTTGTTTGTAATTGGGGAAATCCTGAAAGAAGTCCATAGTTCTGTTAGTGAAAATACTGCACCAAGTACATTATAAAGAGTCAGGCCCAGCTGGTGTGGCTCAGCAGTTGAGCATTGACCCATGCACCAAGAGGTCGCTGGTTTGATTCCCGGTCAGGGCACATGCCCAGGTTGTGGGCCTGATCCCCAGTGGGGGGAATGCAGGAGGCTGCCAATCAATGTTCTCTCTCATTGATGTTTCTATCTCTGTCTCCCTCTTTCCTTTCTCTCTCTCTAAAATCAATAAAAAAAAAAGAAAGAGAGGGAGGGAGGGAGGGAGGGAATGAGTCATGGTTCTCTAATAGTCTGTACCCATTTTGTTTAAAATATTTTGTTGTTTTGG